AGATAGAATCCGAGGAATTTTCCTGCCTTGACCCCGAACGTGCACTTCTCGGGGTTGAACCTCATTTTGCACTGTCTTGCTTGGGCGAAGAATGTCTTGAGGTGGGCTGCGTGATCGGTGTCTGCTCGGGATTTGACGATCATATCGTCCATATATACCTCGAGCATGTCGCCAATCTGTTTGTTGAACACTTTGTTCATCATGCGTTGGTAAGTTGCATCGGCGTTCTTCAGTCCGAAGGGCATTACGTTGTAGTAATAGTTGCCCGAGCTGGTCATGAACGCTGTGCAGCGTTTGTCGCCCAGAGCCATTGGGATTTGATTGTATCCCGAGTAGGCGTCCATGAACGACAAAGTCTTGTAGCCGGCCGAATTGTCGACCAGCATGTCAATGTTAGGTAGAGGAAAAGCATCCTTCGGGCAAGCCTGGTTGAGGTCGGTATAGTCAACACACATTCTCCATTTTCCATTATTCTTTTTAACAAGTACAACATTTGACAGCCAGGTGGAGTACCGGGCTTCAGAAATAAAATTTGCCTCTAGGAGGTCTTTTACAGCTTTTTCAGCAGCCTCCGTTTTTTCTGGAGACTGCCTACGCCTACGTTATACTACGGCCTTGGCGGCTGGATCAATGGCGAGGTGATGACAGGCGACCTCAGGGTCGAGTCCGGGCATCTCTGCAGCGCTCCAGGCGAAGAGATCAGCATTCTCGCGCAGACAGGCCTTGATTTGCTTCCTGGCCAAGTCGGGGAGGTCTTTGCCAATCTTCACTCCCTTGGTCGGGTCTGCTCCGAGGGGAACGAGTTCAAAATCGCCGTCCGGAATAGGTCGGAGGGGGATTTGCTCGCTGCTGGATGGCTCGTCTTGGTCGAAGCGGGCGTCGAGGGCTATGGAGTCGACCTTTGGTGGAGCCTTCTGAACTTCTACCTCGGGGGATGCTCTGTCGGGCTCTTGCTTTGTCTTCTTGGTGGGTCTGGTCCCCACGTCGACGGTATCCCGTCCCTTGGAAGCGGCGTTGAAGCACCTGCGGGCAGCGGCGAGGTCTCCCTGGATGGTGGCTACCCTTGCCCTTTTGGTATAGAACTTCATTTTTAAATGGACAGTTGAGGGCACCGCTGTCAGCTCCGCCAATGTCGGCCTCCCCAAGATGCAATTGTATAGGGACGGGCAGTCAATGACGAGGAAGCGGACCTTGACCTGTCTTGTAGCCGTTCCTTCCCCGAACGTCACCAGGAGCTCGACATAACCCCAAGGTTTGGAAGTCGAGCCGTTGAAGCCTTGAAGATCTGAACCCACATACGGAGAGAGGTGTGAGTCGTCCAGTTGCAAGGTCCGGAACAGCTGGTTGTACATCACGTCGACGGAACTCCCTTCGTCGACCAGGATGCGATGCACGTCAAAATTGGCCATCTTTGCCCTTATCAGCAAAGGGATGACTGCGTTCGGGGCTCCGCCGGGGAGCTCTTCTAGGTAGAAGGTGATGGGCTCCGATCTGCCCTTCACCCTTTCGAACGTCACAGTTTGTGGAGGAGCTGTGTCGACCAGTTCGTCCAACTTCCTCTTGGCTGAATTGATGGTGAGGTCGTTGAACCCGCCTCCGCTGATGACCATGGCGGAGGGGAAGTATTCCCACCTGCTATGTGTTGTCAGGGGCTCCTGCAGGAGCTCGGGAATTTCGAAATCCTCGGGCCTGATTACCGAGAAGGCGGTCTGGATTGGTACCGACTCGTCAGATGGTCGGGCATCCTCTTCGGGCTCCTTGGCTTCGTGGGAGTCACGACGGGGAGCGTCGTTTCTCCTGTACTGTGCGAGCCTCCCTCCCTTGATGAGGGTTTCAATGGCGTCCTTGAGGTGGACGCAGTCCTCTGTCAAATGACCATGACTCCTATGGTATTGACAGTACTTATTTTTGTCTGCCCCTGGCTTGGCGGGAGCAGGTCGGGGACGCTTGACGCCACCGTCTCTGAAATCTGTGCTAGCACACTCCGCCAAAATACGCTCGCGGGAAGCCGTGAGCGGAGTGTACTCAGTTAAACGGCCCGAGGGGCCCCTTTGTTCCCGGACTTCCCGGGGTCGATCTTCTTTCCTTTTCTCCCCGGTACGTCGGGGAGGAGGGTCTTGTCGCGAGCTGCTGCTATGATTGGGAGCGCGAGCCCTGGAGTCTCGTGCCCTGTTGGCAGCTTCTCTCTCCTCGTAGTCCATGTATGCTCGGGCTTTGTCGAGGAGAGCGTCAAAAGTTACAGGTGGCTCAATACCCACAGCTTTTCTGAATTCTGTGCCGGGGAGGAGGCCCCTCTCCAGCAAATATCTTTTCATATGGTCCGCGCAGGGGACCTGTATTGCTTCCCGGTTGAAGCGGTTGATGAATTCCCTCAAGATTTCATCCTGTCTTTGGATGATGGCCTCGAGGGCTGCCTCGGTCTTCGGGTGACGCCGAAAAGCTGTGAAGGAACTGATGAACTGGTTCTTCAGGTTCCGCCACGATGTAATTGAGCCCGGGGCGAGCCCTTTATACCAGTCCATGGCCGCCTTCCTGAGAGTTGTGGGGAAAAGGCGGCATTTGATGGGCCCCCCGACATTATGGTAGTGGAGCATGGCTTCGAACCCGTCAATGTGGTCGACCGGGTCCGCTACTCCATCATACTCCTTCAGATGCGGGGGTTTCTCCATGCCCGGGGGGATAGGTGCATCCATGATGGTCTGCGACAGGGGACCGCGGGGGTCGTCCTCGTCGCTCCTCTCCGGAGAAAGAGAAGAGGTCCTGTAGTTATGTCTGGCACGATGGTCGTGCTGAGATTCCCTCGAGCGTGATGCTCGGTGGTTGAAGGTCACCCGCCCGTCTCCGGCGTGCCTCTTGTCGTGCCTTGAGGGGTCGCGACTGGGTTCTTCGGTAGGGATGACGGGCTGTCTCTCATATTGGGGCCGCCTCTGCTTTGGCCGGGGAGAGGGGCTCCTGAATTTCTCCCTATAGTGTCTCTGCGGGGGAGAAGGGTGTCGAACTTCTTCGACCCGAGGAGGTGGAGAAGGTGGCCTCTGGTGCCTCCTCGGGGGTCGTCGATCATTTTCTAGTTCCCTTAGTCTTTCTCCTTGGGCGAATATGAGATAATTTGTCTGGTTGATGGCCGCGAACAGTGCCTGAGTCGTGGCATCTGCCCCGGCAGGAACTGGGACTTCAAAGAACCGGGCAACTCTGTGATAGGCGAGAGCTACCGGGTCGTCCTCAAGTGCTGGAGGGGTCGTCGAGGATGACGCAGTATTCCCGTCCCTGCGGGAGGAAGGTCCAGGGGCGGTTGTCACAGGGATGGCATTGTGGCTGGGTTCACCGGGATTGTCGAGGTGTCCATTCTTGTCCGCGGGGCCGTTATTGGTGTCGGCAACACGGGCGGGCTGCTCGTCGTGAGCTGGATCAGCCATGACAGGTAGTTGAATTGAGCTTTTGGTCCTTAGAATTGTTCGTTAGACGGGGAAGCTGTTCCCACAGACGGCGCCACTGATCTGACCTGATCAGAAATGGACCGTCACGGCTGGCTCCGAGCAGAAAGCTTTTTTGAACGAGGTGGGGGGGATACCTGCAAGACACTCTGATGCTGAAGTAAGTGGGAGTACGAGCAGATAATAGCAAGTTGAGGTTAGAATGATGAATACCTGACCCTCTGGAAACAGAGGGTATTTATAGCCCCCAGCGCTGGGCCAAGGTTCCTTCATTGGGCCGGGCGGATTTGGCCCAATGGAGGAACTGCCAGATTATACGTGGGTAGTGGGGACCCGCACGTGGTCCCCTTCCTGGATGTTCTGCGTGAAGTGCGGGCGGACGAAGACGCGGTCTTTCCGGAGTATCGTTGAGGGAACGGTGGACTGAGTCTGCCCTAGCTGGGATGCTCGAGACAACGTCGAGCTGGACAGCAGGGTGTCGAGCTGGACGTCGAGACGTAGAGCTGGACGGCAGGGTGTCGAGCTGGGCGTCAGGAGGTGGTGGACATCACCACGCGGAGTTGGACATCGGGATGTCGAGGTGGACATCAGTATGTCGGGCACGGGTGTGACGCCCCTTTGCCCAGTGTGGTCCTCAGTAAGTCCCTTTGGACTGGGCCTTAGTAATGCTTTTGGGCCTGTCGGGCCCAGTCCAGAACAATATTGATGACCAATTGTGGAAGATGAGTATGTTGGTTGGAGTTGTTGATAATAATTAAAGTAGTAAAATGAATAATGAGATGATGGAAATGATGAACATGGATTAGAATTAGGAGTATGTGATGAATATCCATAAATTAAATATAAATTTGGTGATGATGATCCAACCTGAGTGTAACAATGTGTAAAAATTTCCCAAGGAAAAGATAGAAATGAGGAAGTGATCGAAAATGTAAAAGATGAATTTGTAGGATAGGTAGGAGAAATGTTCCATGGATGATATGAAGGTGTATGATAAGGATACTCTATAAGAGAATTTGAGTACATGGATGAAAACACCAATTAATAGAAAATTTCCTATTAAAAATTATGAAATTAGGGTTTCTACACTAAAGAGGGAAGAACACTAAAATGATTAAATAAAATAAAAGAAATAAAATAACTTTTCATTTGATTCTTAATATTTAAATGTTTCAATGAGACTACAATATATAATAATATTAATAAATCATTAACTAAAATGCCCAAATACAAATAAAATCCAATAACCATACTAATAATATAAATTCTATTATTACCCCTATCAATAACAATACTAATAATATAAATTCTATAATACCCTTGTATGATGCACCCTCCCCTTTAAAAGATTATGGAACCAAGTCAAATGGGTCTATCCCTCTAGCTGATAATTGACCTCCCTATCGATCCAGCTCATAATGATGTCCCAAATCTCTTGATAGACACCGAACACCGGAAGAATAAATTGTTGAGATCCTCATACCTTCAAAAAACATAAGACGCAATTCCTACTATGTTTGTCCTGCAAAATTCCTGTCCAAGACAAATCAGTCCTTCGTTCGCAACTTATTAAGAATAAAACGCCACCCAAAAATGAGAATTCTTGGACGGAAGACTTGTCAACCACAGCTGGTCCAAGCACCATAGCCGATTCTGATCGACATTCATAACCGAATTCTGATCTGTCAACACAAAACCAGACCGCACAAGTGCAACATTTTAATTGGTCACACATAGAATGAATAATTTTTACCCACATTTTTTCAAAGGTAGTTTAGAAAAAACCAAAAAATGTTTAGTCCACCATATTTCTACTGAGTGTTTAAAATAAAAGCAGAAAGCAAGCTAAGCAACACCAGAAAGCACAGTTCTGCCCCTATCAGTAAGCAACAAAAAGCAACGAGAGCAAGAATAACACAAGCAAAATGAAATCAACTCAAGAACATAAATAATGACAAGAGTTTTTCCTATAGTTCAATTAATTATTTAGTCCATAATGAAACCAACTCAGCAAATAAAGCCATTTCATAAGCAAAAGTAAATTAGAATAAATACCAGTGCGACTGAGTGTAAATTTGAACAATGGAGTATTTTGATGAGCAATACATTGATGTCTAGTGTGTCCTTAACACTGGGTAAGTAAAAAACAACCCAAGTCCTCACTAACAAATGGTACCAGAAGAGGTGACCCAAGTGTCAACCCTGACCCGTCCGCGTCCCTTCCTTCTACCAGGTCACATCTTGGGACATCTTACCACCCCACTTTTTTTCCAGATTCGGGTCAGACCTAAGCCAAATCACTCAGTCCTAATGGTCTGCAGGCTGGGACAGGTTCTATACACCACCAAATCAGCATTACCATTTGTTGAAAGTTGAAATTCCTTTTCTAGGCTGAATATTTTTATCAAGAACAATTTCTGAACCAAAACATTCAGTGATGCCTAAGTTTTTCCTGGTACAAACATTTTCTCGAAAGTGTGGGAAAAGCATTCAGAAAAACTACTGCACCAAAACTCTGATGGCTGCTCTTGAAGTGATTACATGTCCTTAACATGCAAGGTAAGATCTTGGAGAAGGCTCCATATAGTGCTGAAGTCTTCATCTAAGCCTCGTCCATACATGCCCTTTTTTAATCACTCAGAGAGTGATCTGAGAGATGATTAAGCTACTCGAGAGCAAATATACACATTGGATTAGCAGTGCAAATTGTCCACTAAATGAAGCAAGGATACGTGAGGTTCATAATTTGACACGATACAGTTTTCTACAACACCTTGATCTTGACGCTTGTAAGGTGCGCACAATTAGAATGATCCGATCCAAAAAGAAATTCTGTGGAAGTATGAGGCGGATGTACTTGGATTGCAATCATCCATCCGTTACACAGGGAGAGAAGCTGACAGACTCCAGAAAATTCAACTTCTAAACAACAGCTTGTAAAGAACTCTTGATGTCGCTCAAATCAACATTTCCTCTACCACAGAGTGCCACAAATTTATCATTAAATTGCAATAAAGGACACTTATCTATCAAGTTCGAACCAACATAACCGTCTTTGAGAAAAACCGTACTCCTTACACCTTTATTAGTGAGGTAAAATATCCCGTGATGTTTTATTAAGCAAAGAAGCAATTGTGACGGCAAAAAACACTCTGCATGAAATGCGTCTAGCTGGGCAGATGTCATCCTCCTCTCCATGGTCAAGCTGAGGAGCTCATGAATCACTCCCAAGGCCCGTTTTCGAGTTTTCGGATCTGCGGTGTCAAACCTTCTTGCATTCAAATAAGGAGAAGGAAACTCCAATTTCTGCCACCGCTCAAACTGTTGAAGGAAATTAACATTTGGCCTAAAACCAGCAGGAAAGTTCACTTTGAATGCAAATGGACCAGCATAATTCCCATCTTTTGAAATCTTCACCTTCTTGTTATCCATGTTTGGTTTCATGTTCACAACAATTCCTTCCTGTGCCAACCTATTGTATATTCAGAACAAATAATTTATAATTTTACACTTCCACTTAAAACAACAAGAAAAAATATTCTTTCACTAACAACTTTACAAACTAAGTCAAACAAGTACCCAACAAGTGTGTGTCTGGATTGGTTGTAAAAGAAATACAGATGTTTGATTCCAGACATGCAAAAATGCACCTAGCAGCTTAACAACAAGAAAAAGAAAAAAAATGAAAAGAAACAAAAGATTTACCTAGCTTCTCTAGCAGTAACAGCCAAAGTAGAATCCCAATCCTCCAAATAAAGAAAATCCCTTCCATTAAAAGCCCTAACAGAAAAGAACTGAGGATACTTATCAATCAAACACCCTTTAAAATCCCAAGGCAAGCCCATCTCAGGCCCAACAAACTCAACCGTTTCAAGCGGAATCCGATTGTCAACACAAAGCATAAGCATCTTCCTAAGATTATTAACCAAAAGCGGCTCCATAAAATCTCGGGACCGGGCTTCTTGTTGGGCCACTCGATGGGCCTTATCAGTGAAATGAACGAAAGGGGGAGATCCTGTTACGCGGAAAATGGTGGGGTGTTTTTCAATGAGGGCCATGAAGTCCCATTTGCGAACAAAGCCGACGTTTTTCTCGAGGTCACGGAGGAAGAGAGGGTTGCTTTTGGGTTGGGATTGGATTAGGGTTTTGAGTTCGAGGATTGTTGTGGGTTTCTTGCGAAGCTCCATTACTCTGTCGAGTTCGGGGACTCGGTGGTAGGTTTTTTTCTTCGGTCTTTTTCCGCCGCTTGATTTTTGGCGGATGGTTGTCGTGATGGTGATAAATGGTGGTTTTGAGGTGATGAATGGAACTTTACGGCGAAGCATCGAAGAGAGGAAGAGAGAAATGAGTGTTGTGACGTTGGTGCTGTGAAACGGATTTGTTTTTAAAAAACTGACTAAGTTAAAAAGTTTTAAAATCTGGCTGGTCGGACAGATTATACCGTTTACGAGAGGATGAGCGATCCGGTAAAAAAAATGTTATCAAATAAAAATAAAATTATATTTTCACATTATTAAAATTATTAGTGACTTAATAGCTTGACCAGATTGATAATTAGTAGGAGTTTTAAACAATCAGTATATCCGGACGAGAAAAATCATTAAATTTTTAGATAATTATGTAAATATTAAAATAGATAAAAATACAAGATACAATCAATGATAAAATTAAATTTAAATAGAATAAAAATATCAAGTTTGTAGTGTCATATCATTTGAAATTGGATATTTGTGATACGGTTTAGATCGGTTTTAAAATATAAATTTATTTTATTTAAAAATAAATTTATTTGTGAGTCGGTTTAGTTTTAGATGATTGATTAAAAAATTTTAATTTTATCTAATTTTATACAGTTTAATTTGAATCGATTTTTAAATATTTAAATTACGAATTTTATTTTTTATTAAATTATAAAAATAAAAATAAATAATAAATATAATATATATTATATTATATAATATAGAATATATTAAAATTAATATTATAAAATGAGAATGATCGATTATGGTTGAAACAAATAAAATAATAAAAATAAATAGATTAAATTAGACTAGTAAATGTAACGCCCATAATTTAATTTAATTATTTATTGAATTAAATTATTTTTTTGATTATTTGTGAAGTTACATGATATTAAGAATTATTGGAATAAATTGTTGTATTATTATTAATTTATTAATTAGTTGATTGGTTTAATTAAAGTTTAAGCGTATGAATAACTTCTTGCCATGGCTAGGGTTCCGGAGCTCCAATTTGGGGAACCCTAGTTAGAGGCAAAATTAGACTAAATTGAGGACCTTTTCATGTTCAGGGGTTAATTTGCAATTGATCCATGGCTTTGGATGGAATTTATTCTGCTTGTATTGCATTTTGGACATTTACAGGTTTGTAGCCACACACAAGAACCGTCACTATAGCCTATAGTGATGAGTTCGTCCATAGGTAAAAGCTCTTTCTAAAACAACAGTCTCTGGGGAAGAAGATGAGGGCGTGATAGCATACCATTGGCTTGTTTAAAATTCACGTGATTTTTACTGGGCATAATACTTTGTTTAACTTATATTTTATTTGTTTGGTTATGTTAACGAATGAGTCCTTCAGTGCAGATGGTCAAGGAAGGGAAGTGTAAAGCAAACGTCCTGGGTTCGATCCCAGGCGTGTACTTTTGTGTTTTTCTTGATATTTCCTTGCAGATCTAATGCGTCACACAACCCAGCGCTTACCATACACCTCAACATCTCATCATTGGATCATCACATGGTCCAGATCTAACACACCACAAGCGTAGCACATGGTGAACCATCCAAAGGCCAATGACACTGGATCAGGCGCAACCTTGGGTCAGCTATTCTGGGCCTGGACAAATTCAGCATACACCCCCCTAGAATTGCTGCCAATATCAGGCCCATCTCATTTTTTTGTTTTAATTTCTTTAACCCTTTTTTTGTTTTATTTATTTATTTTAATTGTTTTAAAAAAAATTAATTAAATCAAAATCACACAAAAATCACAAAAAATAGAATTGGATTTTTTCATAAAATATTTGATTCTATTAATTAATTAGGTTAATTAGGATAACTTAAAATTCTTTTTTTCATAATTAAAATTAATTATAAATTAGGTTACTTTGCAAAATTAATTACTTTTCTCAAAAATCCAAAAAAAAAATATTTTTCTTTATTCACTAATTAAATATCTTTGAATTTAATTTTAATTCCATATTTAATTTCATTATTTTTCCAATTAATATAACTGCTCCGAGTTTGTAATAGTTTAACTTAGGTTTACTATTTGCCTTTATTGTTTTTTCCCAAGTTTTGATTATGTAATCCCCCTCCCCAAAGCCTTGTAATAGTTAGGTTTAAATTTCTCGCATTTTATTTCCCGTTATTATAAACTGTTAGATGATTGATAATAGGATTGTATGCAAAAGATCATAATTTTAAAACGGTAGAAAACCCTAAATGTGCAAAGACTAAATTGACTGAAAAATAAAACTTGCACATGCTCAATCCTAGGGTTTGCCCCACTTCGATTGCCTTCGGTAAATGGTCATGAAGTATAGGGAGTTTTAGTGATTGCCCTCTAGTCCCAAAAGATCAAAATGACCCATTCGAATGTTACCTCAGAAAGATCTTTAGGACTCTAGGGTAATTACTAAGGTTTCCTAATTGTTGCTTATGTGACCGTAAAAAACGTCCCTTTCGATTATTCCTTAAACTCCAACGATGGAGCTACCTACTCCTTAATAGTAGGATAGCACCGTCTAAAGGAAATAAGTAAAAGAACAACTTTTTTCGAGTAGGTAGAAACTTTTAGGTACTTTCTCAAAACAACATTTTTACACTTACACTTTCAAACAAACTTTTCAAACTAAAGTTTTCAAAAACACTTTATCACACCCTTGAGGACTGATACAAGGGTTACCATAAAGTGAAATACCGCACTAAGGCAAATTTCAAAACTTCTTCAAACACACAAGCACACAAAAGCAATTTCAAAAATGAGCAAGTACCTAAGATCCCATGGGAAATCATAGATAGAAAGGGTGTTAATACCTTCCCTTTCTATAATCTACCCCCTGTACTCAGAAATATCTCGAAAAAAGGTTTTTTCTGTTCTTTTTCCTTTTCCTTTGTTGGATGAAATAAAAGTCGATGGCGACTCTTGCTTACCGTACATTTACGAACAAAAAACATAAACCAGTAGTAACAAAAAATAGTCGGTTCTGCCACCGTATCACACACACTTCACACTTTCAAAACACTTTTAAAACAAACATTTTATATACATTCTCAATGATACGAGAATCATTACAAAATTTCCTTACATTGGCATTTTAAGAACATCTCTCCAAACACTCCTTTTCAAACAAATATTTTCAAAACCAACACTTTGTATACATTCTCAATGATACGAGAATCATTGCAAAGTTTTCTGAACTTAGGCGTTTTCAAAATATTTTCAAACATACACAATACATAAAGCATTTCAAAGTGATCAAGCAATTAAGAGCTCATAGATAACTACATATGAAAAGGGTGCTAACACCTTCCCTTTTCATAACCTACCCCCCGAACTCAAGAAAAATTCTCGAAAGGTCTTTCCTGTTCTTTTCACA